TCATGCCATAGTGAGCTGCCTGTCATCACAGATAGATGAGTATCATTTGTCGTGCATATGTGGTTATTGTGTGACATGATGCATTCAGTATCTGAGTCATAACCCTGTGCGCTGGGTGGTTGATCATATGCAGATTGGATATGTTGGCTGTATCTTCATAGACCGTTGCTCATTCAAACATCATACAACTTGACACAGTGATATAGTATCTTTCCACAGACCCATGTGCTTGTATGAAAATCTTGAATTCTTATGTTTTGTTCTGGTTTAAGTTGAAATAGCTGTTTGCACACTCAATGATCATGCTTTGTATCAATTATTCTCTTCTTTCCAACAAAAAAATGTGGTCATGTGGTGAGAGCATGGGAGGGAAGAGCAGTAAGAATCTGTCTCCCAATAATGACAGCTTCTGGGGAGGATAACCATTACCTTGAGGAGCAGTACATAGATTTAACAGCTGGCCAAAATTCTTGGCAAATCATTTTACTTATGACTACCAAGGATTTTGCAACACACAGTGCATTCTACAAGACTATTTGACTGAGGGTTGTGAGATGTTAAACATCCTATCTCCAACTGGTCTCAGAAGGGTCTTGCACTTGTGCATTGCAAGCAGTTGTCAGACTCAGTTTGGTGAGGAATCTGTACAAACAGCATATGGTGGCCAGTGTCCTGACAACTGTTGTACTCATTGAATGTTTGATTTGTTGCACAAATGAAAATTTAGTGAAGCAGTCTTTATCAGTTGTTGAGATTGATGGAATTGACATGTTTCAGACAATGTGATTAGTTGATTAGTGCTTATTGATACCAGGCCAATAAATCGATTCATGTGCCAATCACCCGAGTTTCTCTGCACTTATGTAACTTATATGAATATGGTCTAGTGTGTCTTGACATAGAACTTGCAAAATTATGACGTTTTTGCCTTTAGAAATGACAGAAATGGAGAGTCCTAATTCATCTGTGAATGACCACAATGAACATACTAGCTTGGGGAACTATTGGATGTATCCAGGTCGCCCACTGAAGAAGATGATTTTTTTGAGTCGTTGTGGTTGGTCATCATTTGATGTAACTTGCTGAATCTGCTCTGTTCGGCTCAGCCTTGACCAGACTGTGTCAGATTGATGTTGTGGTCTGGAGTCTTTCACGTGGCACTTCTTAGGTTGGTCACCCTGTGGATCGTAATAATATGGAGATCCGTGCAGGCTGGTAGACTAATGGTAGGTGGTCCATCTCTTTTAACAATGTAAGAGGTTTCAGATGTCCATACTGAGAAGGTGTATTAATATTCTGAGGAAGGGTCATTCGACTCGAAACGTTAACTCCGCAGATGCTCCCAGACCTGCCAAGCTTTTCCAGTGATTTCTATTTTTGTCTCTGATTTACAGCATTCACAGTTCTTTCAGTTTTTATTTTGTATTAATATTGAAGATGGGTGATACTAATGTATGGGATGTGAGAGCCATTATGCACAGTTAGCTTATTATACGTGGACCGCACTGCATTATTGCAGGTTCCGCAGTACACCTCTTGGAAAGAAAAGGGATGATATTTGCACCAATTTTGGCATAGAGAGCATGATGTCCATTCCTTTTAGAGTATATCACTTGGATGGAGGTAAAGGCTTCAGCTTTTCTGATGGCATCCATGTCGTGAGCCAAACTGACCACATTTACTGTCTGACTGTAATGTCACAACTATCTCTTGGACTTTCTCACATGCATGTGCGGAAATGTCCTTGACATTGTTCCGTAGTCGGCTCCTCTTCACCTACTCAGGTGAAGTACTGTGTTGCACTTTGGATTTCTCTGGACAAAGGGGTGACTGGCATATTTTAGCCCAATGTCCTCTCATGGAACATAACTTGCATGTGTGACAAAGTTCTGGACACTGTATTGTTGAGTGAGACAAGCCACACGGCGTACAAGATTCGATTTTATTAGCCGCATTGACGATTGCAATGGCTGTTGGAGAATCAAGTGCCTGAAGATGCAGCTGGCAACAATCAGTTTGAACTTGCTTTCCTCTTCAAGCAGTATGTGCATGGTATACACTCTGGGTTTGTCTAGAAGTGCTTTTCTGAAGGATTTTAATTGAAGTTAGCTTCATTGAAATCACATTCTGTAACTCTGCAACAAAACCCACCTAAGAATTGGTCGGGTATTTCATCCGGTTGCTGTGTGCATAGCAGCAAGGCGGAGTGTGGGGGTGTGGGTCGTATATTGGACAATATCAGACACACAGCGTACATGTAATGGGAGATAGTAGGAACTGCAGATGCTGGAGAATCCAAGACAACAAGGTGCAGGCCTGGATGAACACAGCAGGCCAAGCAGCATCATAGGAGCAGAGAGGCTGACGTTTCGGGCCTAGACCCTTCATCAGAAAAGGGGGAGGGGAAGGGGGTTCTGAAATAAATAGGGAGAGAGTGGGAGGCGGGTACAAGACGGATAGAGAGGATAGGTGGAGAGGAAACATACAGGTCGAAGAGGCGGGGATGGAGCCAGTAAAGGTGAGTGTAGGTAGGGAGTCAGGAAGGGGATAGGTCAGTCCAGGGAGGACGGACAGGTCAAGGGGGCGGGATGAGGTTGGTCGGTAGGAGATGGAGGTGCGGCTTGAGGTGGGAGGAGGGGATAGGTGGGAGGAAGAACAGGTTAGGGAGGCAGGGACGAGTTGGACTGGTTTTGGGATGCGGTGGGGGGAGGGGAGATTTTGAAACTTGTGAAATCCACATTGATACCATTGGGCTGCAGGGTTCCCAAGCGGAATATGAGTTGCTGTTCCTGCAACCTTCGGGTGGCATCGTTGTGGCACTGCAGGAGGCCCAGGATGGACATGTCGTCTGAGGAATGGGAGGGGGAGTTGAAATGGTTCGCGACTGGGAGGTGCAGTTCCGCTGTACCCGGTGTGGCTTCCTCTACATCGGGGAAACCAAGCGGAGGCTCGGGGACCGCTTTGCAGAACACCTACGCTCGGTTCGCAATAAACAACTGCACCTCCCAGTCGCGAACCATTTCAACTCCCCCTCCCATTCCTCAGACGACATGTCCATCCTGGGCCTCCTGCAGTGCCACAACGATGCCACCTGAAGGTTGCAGGAACAGCAACTCATATTCCGCTTGGGAACCCTGCAGCCCAATGGTATCAATGTGCATTTCACAAGTTTCAAAATCTCCCCTCCCGCTACCGCATCCCAAAACCAGTCCAGCTTGTCCCTGCCTCCCTAACCTGTTCTTCCTCCCACCTATCCCCTCCTCCCACCTCAAGCCACACCTCCATCTCCTACCGACCAACCTCATCCCGCCCCCTTGACCTGTCCGTCCTCCCTGGACTGACCTATCCCCTTCCTAACTCCCCACCTACACTCACCTTTACTGGCTCTTACATGTAATGGGTATTGGCCACAAGATGGCAACAAAAAGGAGGTCCTGTACTTACAACCTGCACATGGTTAGGGTGTATGACATCAACGGCATTGCCTTGGTTGGTTATGTCTTCTGCCCACCAGCATGCAGTCTGTAGTACCTGACTGTAGAGTAAGCAATTAGGCAAACCAATGAGACAGTTTCATCAGACAGGTCATCTCCCATGAATTAAGGCAAAGAGAACAGCAATAAGTGATTGTGGAGAAGAGAGAGAGAGAGTGAGGTACAGAGTGGGTGTACATAGTAGGTGTAAATGCAGAGTATAAGACTATAAGACCATAAGACATAGGAGCAGAAATTAGGCCATTCGGCCCATCGAGTCTGCTCCGCCATTCAATCGTGGCTGATAAGTTCCTCAACCCCATTCTCCTGCTTTCTCCCCGTAACCCTTGATCCCCTTTGTAATCAAAAGCCTACCTACCTCAGTCTTAAATGTATTCAATTCAATGAATACGGTCCTGCTCTGCTGCAAGCAAAATGAAGAAAAACCAGACCTCTGTAGTGTCGAAGGGAAAGGCAGGAGAAACAACATAGAGGCCAGAGTTCATGGTCTGAAGCTCTGGAACTCAATGTCGAGTCTAGAGGCTGCAGAGCTCCTAAAGAGAAAATGGGGTGATGTTCCTCCAGCTTGTGCTGGGTTCCACCGGGAGACCACAGCATCACCCGAACAGGAAGAAAGGCATCAGAAGAAGATTGACATGGGGCATTGACATGACAAGCAATTGGGATGAGACTGAGTGGAGGTGTTCAGTGACGTGGTTGCCCCATCCTTAATGTGGACGAGATTGCATTGTGAGTAGCGAATGCAGGAGACTGGGTTTAAAGAAGTATAAGTGAACTGCTGCTTCACCTTGAAGGAATGTTTGGTGCCTTGGACAGTGAGGGGAGAGATGGTAAAAGGGCAAATATTGCAGCTCCTACAAATTGCATGGGAAGGTGCTGTGGGAAGAGACTGAGGTTTAGTGTGACAAGAGGAGTGAACCAGAGTATAATGGAGGGAACAGATCCTTCAGAATGCTGAAAGGGATGAAAGGGAATTTTTCATGGCGTCATAATGCCTGAAGTTGTGGGAATGATGGGAATCCTTTGAAAACAAAAACTGGTAAGGTAGTGGGGTGGGGTACAAGCATAACCCGACGTGATTCTGGGAGAGAGGAGATAGCAGCACACACAGATGTGCAGGAAATGGGTCAAATGTGGTTGAGGACCCTGTCTACTATAGTTGGGGGAGCTGGGGACAGGGAGTAATCTCAACGATGAGCAAGGAAGACATGTTAAAAACTTCACTGTGCCAGGTGTGTGGAAGGTCAAGCAGACATTGTCTCTTTAAATGCGAAATGTCAGCTGAGGCTATATGTTTCTGGAGGTCACTCCATGCTCAGCGATGCGCTGACTTTATCTAACTGTCTCAGTCAAGTTGACATTATGCAGTGTATCTGAGGTGACTTGATGCCTGAGAGCATGTTTCTCTTTAAATTGATGTTTCCAAGATGTACATCACTGCCATCCATCATGTGCAGGTGACACTGGAGGAGTTCAAATACTGACCGTGAATTCTTCACCTTTCAGGGACCAGAGAGAAAGAGAGAGAAGAGAGGCATCGGTCTGCAATCAAAATATGCAATTCAAAACTCTCATGTGAAAAGAAACAAGACACAACATCGCCTGTTCTAATGTGAGTGCTAGTCCCACAACAATTTTCTGGCATACAGAACGTCGTTTACCAAATGAGAATGCAGATCATACATTACATTCCCACATGCCAATCCCATTTATCCCTGACTGTACATTACATTTCCACATGCCAATCCCATTTCATTCCTGACCATATATTGCCTTCCCACACACTAATCCCATTGATTCTTGACCAGACAATACGTTCCCACACTCCAATCCCATTCATTCCTGACCATAAATTACATCCTCACACTTCAACCCCATTCATTCCTGACCATAAATTACATCCCCACACTCCAATCCCATTCATTCCTGACCATACAATACTTTCCCACACACCAATCCTATTCATTCCTGGCCGTACATTACATCGCCGCATGTCAGTTCTTGGTTCATTTTGTAACGTGTCCTTGATGTGAGTATTGTGTACCTACAGTAAAACGTGCCTGTGGCACCACCCCGTTATTGGATGTGAAACAGACATTTTATCCTGTCTGCCACAGCGATATGTGAAGCCAGCAGAGAAATACAGACTTTATCTGAATGTTATAGCCAGCCAGTTCAAAGCCTGCACTGCTGGGCTGACAGCCAAATCTTTGCCAATTTACAGTTGAACTTTTAGCGTTGTACTCTGGGTTTTGCACGTAGCTGAGGAGATGTGGGATTTAGAGGAAGCGGGACAGATTGAATGTGCGCTTTTGATTTATAGCCTGCTGCAGTGGTCCGCAGCCCAATATTTCCCATGCTTGACATTTGCAGGAGTCATCAGCGGCAAAAATATTTGCTGTCTACCTCAACAAGAATCAAACAGGCCATTTCCTGCACTGCAGAGCTCCTGTATGAATCTCCATTTTATTACGAGAGAAAAAGACAGGAAGATAGGGCAGGTTGCAATGTGTAGAGACACATGACAGAGAGATCGTGGAAGAAGCAGGTGGAAGAGTAAAACATTCACATCCTGAAGTCTAGCTAATGACTCTTGAACCAGTTGTGGCGGTTTAAAATGAAAGCAAGGCAGGCTTGGAAAGAAAATGCTCAAACTACATGTAAACTCTCCACTGGGCGAGAATGAACCACGGTCTAACCAACTAATGATCTAGGAACAGTAAAATCAGGAGCTGCGGTTCCATCAGCACTCGAAAACCTTTCTCTGAGCTGAATGCGAGTGGTGAGCTGCCTTCTTAAACGACTGCAGGCCGTGTGATGCAGGAAACACTGCGTGGAAAGGAGTTCCAGGATTTTAACCCGGAGACTATGAAGGGACAATTATGTAACCAACTTAATGCATTGCTTTGAGGGGAGCTGACAAGCTCTGGGGAGTTGGGAGATGAGTTGATTGCTACAGAATTCCAAACGTGTGCTTGTAGCTGCAGTACTTATAGGGCTGGTCAAGTTCAGTTTTCGCTAGAGACTCCCAGTATGTAGATGGTGGGGATTCAGCAATGATAATGGAATTGGCTGTCAAGGGGCAATGATTAGACTCTTGTTTGCTGGAAGTGGTCATTGCCTGACATTTGTATGGGATGAATACCATGAAGATCCGACTGGCACACATTGTTCAGGGTGTCTCTGCATGGAGTAGATACATAGAAAATAGGAACAGGAGTGGGACACTCAGCCCTTCAAGTCTGCTCTGCCGCTCAAGATAATCCTGGGTGATCATCTGATTCGGTAACCTGTTTCTGCTTTCTCTATACACCCGTTGATCCCTTTAGCCCCAAGAACTATATTCAACTCCTTCTTGAAAACATTTGGCCTCAGCCAGTTTCTGTGGTGCACAACTCCATGGACTCACCACTATCTGAGTGAAGAAATTTCTCCTTGTCTCAATCCTAAATGGTCCACCCTGTACCTTTAGTCTGTGACACCTGGTTTTGTGTACCCCAGTCATTGGGAACATCGTTCCCGCATTTTGCTTGTCTAGTCCTGTTAGAATTTTATATGTTTCTATAAGATCCTCTTCAGACTTCGAAACTCCAGTGAATATAATCCTCATCAACCCAGTCTATCCTCAAATGTCAGTTCTGCCATACCAAGAATTAGTCTGGTAAACCTTTGTTGCCCTCTCTCTGTAGCCAGAACATCCTTCCTCAGAGAAGGAGCTCAAAGCTTCACTCAATACTTCAGGTGTGATCTCATCAAGGCCCTGTACAACTGCAGCAAGACATCTGATCTGTACTAGAATCATCTCACTATGAAGGTCAACATACCATTTGCCTTCTTCTTCACCTGCTTGTACCTGTATGCTTACTTTCAGTGGCTGGTATACAAGGTTTCACTGAACATCCCCTTTTCTCAATCTGTCGTCATTCAAATAATAAGTTGCCTTCTTGTTTTTGCCCCCATTGTGGAATAACCTCACATTTGTCCACATTATACTTCATCTGCTGTGGATTTGCCCGCTCGCTCAGCCAGTCCCAATCACACTGAAGCATTTTTGCACTCTCCTCACTGTTTACCCAGCTGTGTATCATCTGCAAATTTGCAAATATTACGTTAGGTTCCCTCAGCCCGGTTGATTGAGTGGTAGAATGGTCTTTGTGTAAGTTACATCGAGTTGTGGAGAGCTGATTTATTTTCCACATTTCCTCACACAGAGCCGGGTAGGAGTACAAATTAAAGCTCCTACTCGTAGGTATTTTAATCAACCAGTGCGGACACACCTTTGGAGCAGGTAGGACTTGAATACAGTCCTTCTGGCCCAGAGATAGGGATATTACCAGTGAGCCACAAGGGCTGATTAGCTCCCCCTTGTGACTTGAGTTGGGGCTATACAAGTGTTCAACAGGTTAATGTCCGTAACACAAAGGAGCCTGGCTTCGAAGATGAATCTTGAGTTAAAACATTACATCTGCCACAAATGGGGTAAATAGTATTACAAAGTGGTCAGAAATGATCCGTCGCAGATAAACAATTATTTACACTCGCATGACCCTCTGCTTCTTGGTTTAGGAGGAAACATCAATTGAGCCATTGTACTTAAATATAAATAAAATATTCATGAAAAGCCTTGCTACACAGTTGCGTCGTGTTCTGCCCTGCAGGCTTCATTGAAGACAGTAAATATAAAAGCACAAAGAAAGAAAGATTTCCATTTACACAGCACCTTTCGTGACCTCAGAACATCCCAGAGCACTTTAGAGCCAAGCAAACACTCCTAAAGCGCAGTCACAGTTGAAAAATAGAAAACACGACTGAAATTGTGCACACAGCAAGATCCCACAGACAGCAGGAAGATAACATCCAGATTTTCTGGTTCGATGACATTGGATGAAAGACTACATTTGGGCAACTCACCGGGGACAACCCCTGTACTTTTCTTCAAAATAATGCTGTGGAATCTTATTACCGTCCTGGAAGGGCAGTTAGGCTTTAGTGTTACATATTCTCCAAAAGACAAGACATTGACAGTGCAGCATTTCCTCATTATTCAGTCATTGGATTCATTGCCCATCCCTAATTGCCTTTGAGAAGGTGCTGGTGAGCTGCCTTCTTGAACCGTTACAGTCCTTTGTGCTGTAGGTGGAGCGACAAAGATTATAAGAAGGGAACTCCAGGATTTTGACCCATCAAAATTGAAGGAACGGTGATCTAATTCCAAGTCAGGATGGTGAGTGGCTTGGAGGGGAATGACCTATTAAGTGACAGATATTTCTTTTAACTTGCTCAGGAGTGCAAGAGAGATGTTATCACCTCCCCAGGTACAGGGAACATATTCAAGTTTTGGACAATTTGGACTTGAAAAGGGAAACAAAGCTCCTTGAGCAGCTTTATTGGTGGAGATTGTGTGATTTGTTTGAGGTCAGAGGAGTTTGGCAGGGCTAAGAACATCAGTGTGCTATGAGTGACAAAGGATGGAGCCTCAAAAGTTGAGAGACCCAGTTGTGATAGTGATTTGGAGAAACAAAACACTGAATTATTTTTGAAAAGGGTTCCCTTTAACTGAACGGCTGTGGATTGTTAGACTGGAAAAGAGGTGGAAAATTAATGAGGTTGAGTATTGGAAAAGATTCAGAGAGTGAAACAAGAACATGGGTTGACGCTTTGTTTGAATAAATAAGTGGCTCTTAGATTTACAGACTCCAAGCAGAGATAAAGTCAACTCTGATGTATCAGAGATAGTAGGAACTGCAGATGCTGGTGAATCCGAGACAACAAGGTGCAGGGCTGGATGAACACAGCAGGTCGAGCAGCATCATAGGAGCAGAGAGGCTGACGTTTCGGGCCTAGACCCTTCATCAGAAAAGGGGGAGGGGAAGGGGGTTCTGAAATAAATAGGGAGAGAGTGGGAGGCGCATAGAAGATGGATAGAGGAGAGGATAGGTGGAGGGGAAACAAACAGGTCGAAGAGGCGGGGATGGGGCCAGTAAAGGTGAGTGTAGGTGGGGAGTTAGGGAGGGGATAGGTCAGTCCAGGGAGGACGGACAGGTCAAGGGGGCGGGATGAGGTTAGTCGGTAGGAGATGGAGGTGCGGCTTGAGGTGGGAGGAGGGGATAGGTGGGAGGAAGAACAGGTTAGGGAGGCGGGGACGAGCTGGACTGGTTTTGGGATGCGGTAGGGGGAGGGGAGATTTTGAAACTTGTGAAATCCACATTGATACCATTGGGCTGCAGGGTTCCCAAGCGGAATATGAGTTGCTGTTCCTGCAACCTTCGGGTGGCATCGTTGTGGCACTGCAGGAGGCCCAGGATGGACATGTCATCTGAGGAATGGGAGGGGGAGTTGAAATGGTTCGCGACTGGGAGGTCTGCACTGACCTCTACATCGCCAAGGCCAGACGCCAACTCTCCGACACCTCCTCCTACCGTCCCCTTGATCATGACCCCACCCCTGAGCACCAAACCATCATCTCCCAAACCATCCACAATCTCATCACCTCAGGTGACCTCCCACCCACGGCCTCCAACCTCATCATTCCCCAACCTCGCACTGCCCGCTTCTATCTCCTTCCCAAAATCCACAAACCTGAATGCCCCGGTCGACCCATTGTCTCCGCCT